GAAATTATGTTACAATTTATCTTATTTTTTGTGACATTAATCTCAAATAAAAATGTACCATTTTTGGAATTAATATAACATAATTTTTTTTATAAAAGGAAAGTTAGTGTACCAAAAACAAAAACAAACTTTAGCCAAGTAAGTACCAAAATTGAATTTTTGGCACAAATTAATCTACCTCCACAAGCTTTTACAAGTTACAGCACAAAACCTAATCAATATTAATCAACTCCAATTTTTAGCTATAATCTTGTTTTGGTTCTGCAACCACATCTCTTGTTGCTGCTTCAAGCTCTGCTGGTCCATTGCTGTAAATTCCCCAAACAGATCATCCCCGCCGTTCTTCTCCCCAAACGGGTCGTCCCCACCCATACTCCGTACCTGGAAAGTCGGCACAGCCACCACTTGTGCCGTCAATTCAAACGGGTCATCATCATGATGATCCACCAGAAACGGGTTAACGTAATGCTCGTCCGCCATTTCCTCCCGAGACGTCGACACGACCGACGACGACGTCGTCTCTGCCAACACAACCTCCCAACTATCCTGTTCCTCCGCCCAATCCCCGAGCGACATGAGGTCCACGATCGATGACGTGGCGGGCAACGATCTGCTCGACCCCGTGTCGCTCGGCCCAAACGCGTCATCCGTCGGGTACGTCTCGAGCTCGATCGATATCGCGGGCCCCACCGATCCCACCGTCGTCTCTGTCGCGCGTATCAGCTCCTCCAGCGACGAGCCGCCCTCCGGCGGCGGCGGCGGCCGGAGAACTACCGGCGGCGGCGGTGGCCCGAACGAGAACGACGACTGGTCCTTGAGAAATTCCCCGAGCGTCTCGACGAGCTCGTCGGAGACGACCTGGACGCTCGGGTACTCGGAGCTCCGTCCGACGTCGAGGCTTTTGCATAAGGAATAAAACGCGGAAAGCTCCGGAAACTGCCTGACGGCCTTCACGCAGGCGTGGAAGGCCGCCACGCAGTTTTGGTATTGAAGGTGGAAGAAGCTGTCGAGGACGAGGGAGAGGCCGTCCGAGACGTCGCGGTAGAGGTCGAAGCTCTCGCGCACGATCGCGTGGAGGGCCGCGCGGACAAGCGGGTCGACCCGCGCGGCGCCAGTTGGCCGCGTGGCGATGGCTCGGTCGAGGAGGCGTTGCCAGTGGGACATGCGGTCGAGGAGCATGGCGGGTTTCATGTCGCGCACGGGCTCGTTCGGTTCGCGGTTTTTGGTGCGGTGGTCGTGGTGGTGGTTGGATCGGCGTTGGAGTTTGCCGGTGAGGAAGCAGTCGAGGCGCTCGTCGAGGTAGAGAGCGAAGGTGCGGACGAAGGAGGTGAAGTCCCAGGGGGAGGAGGAGGAGGAGTCGTCGCGGAAGGAGGAGAGGTTGAGGATGCGGGCGCCGCGCTTCATGGCGTGGAGGACTTCGCGGGGGAAGTAAGGGTCGCCGTCTTGGAAGATGCGGAGGATGAGGAGGAGGGATTTGAGGGCGACGACCCAGTTGCGAGTGCGGCCGATGCGTTTGCCGAGGGCGCGGGCGGCGGCGGCGGCGTGGGATTTGCTGGAGGAGACGAGGCGGAGGATCTCGAGGGCGTGCTTGCAGTCGAGGGGGACGGAAGGGTCGTGGGAAGTGGCCTTCAAGACGGAGACCTCCAGGGCGTTGCCGCCGCTGCCGCTCGACGACACTTTTGCCAGGCTGATGCTGGTTTGGTCCTTCACGGCGCCGATCGCCTTCTTCAGCTTGCTCGACATTTTTTTATTTTTTTATTTAATTTATTTATTTTCTGTTACATGAGGGAAGACGGTGGGGCGGATGGGACGTTTTGTTTCGATTGATGTGTTTTTTTTTATTCCTCCTATTATTTCTCGCGTCCTCACAAATTTAGAGAGTATATATAATTTGANNNNATTCTTGAAGTGCCTCGATCAGTCGATTGGTAATTTTGTGATTGTGTGTGTACAAAATTGCAAATTGAATCAGATAATTGTGGAGGTAAAAATACAATGAAGGGGAGAAATTTTGTTGTAAGAGACTACGAATGTATATGTTGATGTGGAGTAGTCTGGTTGAGTCTTGAATCGAGTCTCTCCAATTAATTTATTTGAGTTTAAATATTCTTTGGGTAAAACTAGTATGAATCCCGTGCGGTGCACGAGTAAGAGATATTAATTAATATTTATAAATTAAATATGCTCATTATATAATATTTATAAAGTTAAAATATGAAATATACATGTAATGCATTTTACCTATAAAATTTAAATTGTGCAAATTTACATAAAACGTGTCTAGTTAAAAAAATAATAAAGTAAAAAAAACAATGGAAAAATGAATTCAAAATAAGTTATTTATTCTTATCTCCTCATCATGAAAGAAAATTTCCAAGTAGTTTTTGTATTCAAAAGCAAATTTATTTTCAATTATTCACAACTTCATATGTAGTTTCTTAGTTCTAGTGACTTTGTTGATCAAACCAAATTCGCACTTCATCTTGAATTAAATAAAAAGATAAAATCAATACTTACAATATTAAAACTGAAATCAAATGAAGGATAACAACAAATGATCGAAAAATGACTGAATTTATAAAGGAAAAACAAAGTATAATTTAGTTAAATTCCATAAATATTTTTGATATGAAAAGTATAAAGAAATTGCAATAAATCAATTTAAAAATTGTACCAATTCTTTAGTACACGATTTCTGTAATGTAAAACGTTTACTTTATTTAATACATTAAATTTTACTTTGTTTGACAATTATAATTTTAGTTAATTGTTAATCAAATTCTCATTTAATTTAAATGCGGTATAATTTTTTTGATTGGATGAAATTCAATTTAGAAATATTTTACTGTTGATCAGTTGGGATGTTACTAAATCCTATTAGTATATTACTTGTTGATCAATTACTGTATGAGATGGACTGATTGTTATGGTATGATTGGGTATCTCAATTTTTTTTTTCCGTTGTAGTTGTTAAGTTGTGTGAATAGTATTGTGTAATTTAGTTAGATTGATCGATTTAATAAATATATATACCAAATAATTTGGTATATATATTTATAAAGAAGTATCGACCTTCTCCAGATTTTTCTTTCATTAATATCGAGTAAAATGCTTAGCAATATAGAAAAAAAATATTGAGATACTATTTCTTACCATAAACCGGTATATTGGATCAATATATAGTATACTAAATAATTATATTTTATACTTTATCAATAAAATACAAAAAATGATAATTACTTTTACCACAAATTAATTGCCCAACGTAGAAAACAAAATCGAGACCCACATTTTTCATAGATAAAAATAAAAAAGACCCAAAAAATAGTTATTAAAAAATAATTGAAAGAAAATTGCAATTAACACAATTATCTTGGAACAATTTTATAAAAATTTATAATTGAATAAATCAACAAAATCTATACGACCTGTGTAATTAGGATATCTTAAAAATGTAAATTTTATATTATTTTATTAATTATCCACAAGTTGAATAATTAAATACACAAAAAAAGAATAACATTTATTAAGTAAATTAACAATTTTTTTTTTCGCAAATCGCATAATTGATTATTGTTGTCAATATTTTCATAATTATAGTAATTATTTGCAAAATGAATAAATCAGTCGGATTTACACAATTTGCGTAATTATTCTATATTAAAAATACATTTCATATGAAAGAAGAAAAAAATGAAAGTCTTCCTTTTAAAATTATTTAGGATTAGAGTTACTAGTTGTGTGGGATTAAACATACTTCTCATTTCAACTATTAAATGACAAAATATTATCCATTTATTTTATTTTTTCCCCTTTAGTTTTTTAATATAAATTTTGAATTAAAATTTAATTATAACTACACATTTGTTTATAAAATTTACTATTTATTCACTTATATATATATATATATATAGGGGTTGGTTCAAATAAAAACTAGTCTTGGTGTGAGAACCATATTTGATGCTATTTTTAACTGTGTATGATGCTATTTTTAATATTATATAATGCTATCATTTTCACAAGTGCTAGTATAAATTGTGTTGTTATTTTTAATAATTGCATCTTGGTTAAAAATAGCACTAAAACACAATTAATTATAGCATTTCATACAATTAAAAATAATAGTTCTCACGGTTCTCACGCTAGTATATATATATATATATATAGGATGTGGTTCAAATGAGAACCAAGTCTTAATGTGAGAACCGTGAGAACCGCTATTTTTATTTGGGCGTAGTGCTATGATTAATTGTGTTTGATGCTATTTTTAACCAGGATGAATTTTATTAAAAATAGCAACACAATTTCTGTTAGTATTTGTAAAAATGATAGCATCATCTAATATGAAAAATAACATCATACACAATTAAAAATAGCATAAAAAACGGTTCTCACGGTTCTCACACCAAGACTAGTTTTTATTTGAACCAGTTCCTATATATATATATATATATATAATAATTACAACTAGCAATACTCATTTTCCATTTTTGTTATCAAATCATGCTTAATTGATAACAATTATTGTTTATAAATTGGCTTAAAGACACGTGTACGACTCTTACTTATAAATTCTGTACTGCTTTCGGCCAACATTCTCATGTGATACGGACTATTTCTATGGCTTATAGGAAAGGCCCAATTCAAAAGCCCATACCGGTCTTTAACAAATGCTCCCTTTTCACACATCCCTGCTAGTTTGAGCCAATCCTTTTCACACATCCAGGCCTGCCAATCCTTTCACGTCAAGCGTTACATATAAGAATTAAAGAATCCATTTCTCAATTGCTCATATTTTCTCTATCTCCCAATGTAAACATCAAGAATAGAGATATCATCCTTGAAGTAACTTAACCAGGTGACATTCTGCCATACACGTATTGTGTAGCAGGGAAAGCAAAGCTAAAAAGTGCTCGGATAATGTATGAGATAGACACGTCATAGAGGAAATATACCTCCAACCACAAAAGAGTGCAGTCATCGAGTAGAACAATCTTTTTATTTTCAAGTAAAGGCTTAATGATATCGTCCTGGTACCAACATCGACACGTTTAAAGAACCAGACACAGATCAATCTGTAAAAGCCAATAACTTCACCAGATCAACATGGCACAAAACTTGAAGTTCTTCTGCAGTTCCCTTTATCCAAAAATATAAGAATGTCCATGCAGATGATAGCGGAGACAAGAGAAAAGTAAATATAAAAATCAATCATAGGATGTTGGTAAATTTTTTAGTCCTATCTTGTTAGTCACATATAAGAGGTTTCTTTTTGCTAAATATACAGCGCAAACCTATGCCAAAAAGTATGAAAGTGGGAGAAATCATGTTACTCATGAACACATTAACTTCTTTTCCTTTTTTTTTTTTTTTTCAGTAGTCNGTCACTAACAATACCAAGAATGCACATCTCACATTCAGAAACAATAATATTTTCACTTTGACTATCAAGTTTATAAACCTCCATAGCACTTCAAATTAAGAGCGATGGAAACAAGTCTGATATACTCTCAGTTTATGTTCCATGAAATCGTGTTGAACTGCAGCATTGTATTTCATCCACCATGTCCAGCTAATCTTCACCTTCCACAATAACTTTCGAGGCTACAAACCCAATCCCCTAAACTCGTAGATAAAGAAATCTATCTGTATCAAATATATGTGAAAAAAAAAATTGTGTGCTTTACTTCAATGGCACAATTTTTCAGTCAATTTCTTATTGTTCAACATAATGTCCACATGAAAACTACATAAATTTTACAAATACCAATGCTTAACCTATCTAAAAGGTGTAAAGTATTAAGAGTGATACAACAATAAGTAACAAAGGGATGAAAAATTCATGTAATTCCAGCTACATGCTCTGTGCTGCTCTTTCCAAGAGATAAGAAACCTCCTTGCTACTTCGGACATCCACAATAGTTAGATCAGAAACGTGAGTGTTTCCATTGGCATCGTGTTTGATTGCATATTGCTTTCCAGCATTTTATGCTCGTGAGGCATCAGAGCATGTTCAATTTGATGCTAGTAAGTCACGAATCGTTTCATTATATATCTCAAACATTGAAATTTGAGAAAAAAAAACGGTAACAGTGAATAACTGAGCCAAAAATAACATAGTAAATAGGAGAAATTCTCCATGTACCTGCATATCATACTTCCATCCTTGGGCTTGAAGAATTTGCCTCGACTCAAACACCTGCTCTAGTGATCTTGGAATGAATCTGTTTTGCCTGAACCTGTTTGGCCATATGCAAAGATGCATACCTGACATGAAATACATCAATATGATTATTATAAGTCAGCAATGAGCACATTTACCAGGTTCCAATCTAACCCCTCATTTTTCACAAACCGGTGGTTACTTTTAACACAACTAAAAAATAGCAATCAAATAAAAGGATTAATAAAGATAAAATATATAACCCGCTGCAAACCATGTAATCATTAAGAAATGGCTTGAGATTATAATAATAAATAAGGAATACACGGATATCAATTGCTTGCACCATCTCAAAGCAGGAAGGATGATGTTCATTAGTAGAAAAAGGTTTATCGGAATTACTTTGGTTCTGTAGAAACCAGTGTCATCAACCAGAACTTATATAGTTCTAAATTATCAGGGGTCAATATAAGAGTTCATTGGGATTATGACCTTATAGCCATCAAGGGCACTCTGAACAAGCTGTGGGATCTCCACAAAAACATCTTCCTGAGAAGCATCGGGCATGAACACTTTATCGAAAGTGAAAGAAAGCTTTTGCACTGATAAGTTATTGTCAAGTAGTGTGAAATTCAGTAAAGCAAAGTTTACTCATATCCAAGGCACACACATAAAAACTTTGAACAACTATGCTCACCGTTGTGTGCCAAATCAATGCATCGTTTCCGTTGACGTTGGAAATGAGACAACTTTAGCATCGTTTCCGACTCCATCATCGGACAAAAGGGGCCTCACTCTACAAAAGACACAGATGTTCCTTTTCAACTCCTGCCATCAGCAAGAAATCATGCTCAATGGAAGAACAGAAAGACAGGATATTGCCACATTGTGGTATATAATATATTCTACAAAATGATTTAATGTAGTTAAAGAATTTATATCAAAACTGATCACTGATACCAGGATAGTGTTGTGCAATTTCTTGCGAAGTTTATCTGCTCACTTTGAGACAAACATGTCGACTGCAAAATTAACAAGGAAGATGTTATTAATTTGTTAATGCATGTGTGATTGTTCATCACATACTGGTATTTCAAAATGTACCTCAAGATCAGTTGTTTTAGTTGTCAGACTGTCTAACTCGGCAATAGATTTTCCAGTGCATTCTTTGTATTTTGCAACTTCAGCCGATAGAGTCTGGACTTGTAACAATTGTCGACCTCAGTCATCTCGTACTTGCTGCAGATCACTTCTCATGCTAGCAACTTCACTACCCAATGCTTCCTTTTGTTTCATAGCCTCACCTTGCAATGCCTTTAGAGAAAGCAAAAAGACATAGTTATTAGTACAAGGAAAGTGTGATAGAAAGAAAACAATCAGCAGCCAGGGTACATCTTCAATAAATATAAACGTGAGAGGTAATGAATGTCAAACAACTATCCAGCAAATCAGCACTTAGGAGCAAGTCAAAAAATGTATTAGCTTAACCAACCAAACTTGAACAATGCTCCAGTCCTGCAACAAGCTTGCCATGATATCAATCCTTGAAAATAAAAACATACTTATCTACTGAAGTTACTTAAAACTTGACGACCATTTCAAGTCCAAATCAAGAATAAGTTCATGTTAATTCAACATAAATTTTAAGTTACAAGTCAGCGCACTCAGTTCGAGTCATGCGAGGGGTAAGTGGGGAACCACTATTGATGCTCTTTAAAACAAAAATAAAAAAGAAAAAAAAAAGGAAGTCAGCGCACTCACTGCACACCTATAATGTACAAATAATCAAATATGAGAAAACACGACTAAAACCAGGGTGTGAAATAAGCTAACCCCTGCAAAATGGTCAAAATGAAACCAAAACTTACTCTTGAGGACGTAAGCTGCTCTTGCAAGGAAGTATAGTGGCCCCTCAGTGTACTTAAGTTCTCTACTACTGCTGCAAAATGGTCAAAATGAAACCAAAACTTACGCTTTAGTGTCTCATTTGTTGCCTGAAGTTCTGACTGCAGTCTACTATTATACTGTTGTAAGCTTGTGTTATACTCCTGTAATCTCTTATACATATCATTAAGTGTCTATCTGCAGAAAGACGACAAAATAAAAAAATAAGCAACTTAGTGATCAGCTGTTTAACTTATCAAAAGAGTTCACTAAAAATTTCCTAGAGTGATATATGGATGCTGTACAATACTTTCTGAACGAGTAGCATTGTCTTCTTGAACTCGTTGTTGTCCTTCTCCTTTGCCAAAGAATCTAATGCTTCCTATTTTTAATAGTTAGTTCCTCACTGTGCAAATTAAAGCAGCTATAGAAACCATGATTCAGAATTTATTGTTTGATGGATAACATACCAATTTATCTCAGTCTTCATTGGAAAAATTCCCTTGCAGATCCTCCACGGTCCAAGGGGCCACAAGTGTGGAGTCAATCGAATCCACTCTCACCTCCAAAGTATCGAACCGAGATTCCATCCGAGCGAAGTTGGTAGTCATCAATCGTGCTATTTCCTTGAGCTTGTTCATCATCTCCATTAGGCTCCCATAGATTGGCACTCAGGCGGCAATGTCGGATGAGCCTCCTCCATTTCCGCGTTGGCTCCTACTGCATTTCTTTACGTGTTCCGCTCTTCGTGGGGATACAATGTCCCGTCTATCTTTACCACGTCGCCTTGGCGAAAATCTTTAATTCCAAGTCGTTAAGCTACCACATCGCTTGAGAAATTTTGAAATGAAATGTCAAGGCTGCCACTAAGCGACCGATGATGGGTAGAACCTATTCGCGGCCTGGATACGTGCTATGCTCGACCAAATGAAAGAGAGACAATTGACGGGTTTTTTGTGAATTGCACAATAAATATTTATGAAGAGTTTGTTCTTGCTTAACTTTTTAGCCTCTTTTTTTTCGATAACATTGTATAACTTAAAAACCTGTGGAGAATATATACGTCATAATCCTTGATGAGACTATTGTGCAAGTCTCCTTTTTGCTTCGGTACCCTGAAGATTTCCAACCACGCCTCATTTTCATAAATCAGCGTTGAGCCTCCTCGTCTTGTCTTCAAGTCGGCAAATGACAAGCGAACCATTTTCAACAAGTTGGAACGCCGTATAGAATTCCAATGTCGAGCTAGTGTAAACGAGAAGATCTATCTTAGCATATTTGAATTTTCAAGTGAAGAAATCGAAGATACTTCTTCACATCGGCATCTATTTCGAGATCTTCGCAAAGGCGAACGTCCAACACCATCGGCGGCAATACTCACGAAGTCAAGAGTATTGCCGCCGATGGTGTTGGACGTTCGCCTTTGCGAAGAGCTCGAAATAGATGCAGATGTCAAAAGGTATCTTCGATTTTTTCACTAGAAAAAATATACTAAGATGGATCTTCATGCTTACACTAGCTTGACATTAGAATTCTATACGATATTTCAACTTGTTGAAAATGGTTCAGTTGTTATTTGTCGACTTGGAGACAAGACGAGGAGGCTCAACGCCGATTTGGTGAAACAAGTATTTGGTTTTGAGTATACGGGAATCGAGGCACCGTTGGAAGGATTTGATGAAAATGAGGCGTGGTTGGAAATCTCCGGGATACCAAAGCAAAAAGGAGACTTGCACAATAGTCTCATTAAGGATTATGGCGTATCGATTCTACACAGGTACGTTTTTGAGCTACAATGTTTTCGGGAAAAGAGAAAAAGTTAAAAAGTTAAGCAAAATCAACTTTTCATCATTCATTGTGTCATTCACAAAAAACCCATCAATTATGCCTTTTTCATTTGGTCAATCATAGCACGTATCCGGGCAAATAGGTTCTACCCATCATTCGGTCTCTTAGTGACGGCCTTGACACATTATTTCAAAATTCTTGGGAGAGGCGATGTGGTGGTAGCTAACCGGCTTGGGAATTAAAGATTTTCGCCAAGGCGGCGTAGTGAAGAGAGACGGGACATTGTATCCCCACGAATAGCGGGAAAAGAGATGCATTGGGGGCTAAAGCATAGAAGCGGAGGACGCGGATTCAGAAACGGAGGCGGCTCATCCGACATTGCCGCCTATTGTTAGAGTGTCAACCTATGTGAGCCCTAAGAATGGAGATGATGAACAAGCTCGAGGAAATAACAAGATTGATGACTACGGTGGTCGGAGTTTGGGTGTCGGGGTACGAGATGAAGGTCGGTTGCCGGTAGCGAGCTCGGTCAGAGCTCGGGGATATGGCTGGAAATCGGAGGTGAGAGCTCAAAGTGGCCGGAAGTAGCTCGATTCACCGGAGAAGTGAGGAACCGAGGTCAAGGCCCATCGGAGTTTCAGCTGCTGAGCTTGGTTCGCCTGAAATCGCGGAGTGCGTCCCAGCCGAATGTCGGGCTGAACAGAGTTAGGTTGGTGGGAGCTCGAAATCGCCGGACGGGACTCGGGGTGGTTATCGGAGCTCGGAGATTTGAGCTCACCGGCTGAGGAGGTGCGAATGCGGGGGTCGTGGCTCGTGAATAGGGGTCGCCGGTCAGAAATCGAGAGTCGCGGCTCGAGGTCTGCTGCTCTGAACATGGGGTCGCCCGATGAAGCTGTGCGCGGAGGGAAAACGGTCGCCGGAAGCAGGTTCGATTGGAGCTCGGGAGTCGCAGCTCGCGACGAAGGAACGCTCCCTGTGGAAGCAGCGAGGTGGCTTTAAAATCCTTTAAAACTCATTTTAGGGATTTACTAGCTGATTTTGAAAATTTATAGTCTTTGAGGCATACTAGAGTTCTCTGAAATATTTCTAATTCTAGACTATATTCTGGCAGGACTTAAATCTATCCGGTTCTCAAATTTGACTAAATTTGAAATATATCTGGATCTTAAATATGATCTTAAATCTGACTGAAATTTATCTAACTGGTTCGGAAAAACTAGATTCTCGGTTCACGCTCAAACCGATGTTCCAAACTGAAGTCCCAAACCGTTCGGACTGATTCAACTGAACTAAAATTCTCTTCGAACCGTCCGGACTGCCCGGACTGGTTAAACTGAACTGGACCGACAACTCACTCAGAGCCGATCGATCATGACTATGTGAAGCTCGATTTAACCGTGGTCCAGGGTCAGCGTGGCAACTCGGGGCCGACACGATCTCAATTGACACGGCTTAGCCGTTGCACTAGTGCACGGGTTTGAAATGGTGCCACAGTCACTGACGCAGGGGCTTTTTTGGACCACGACTACCGGGACATAACGCGTGACGGCAGATCAGATGGACTCGGTGCACGGGCACACACTCGGTGGTCGGCTCCAACGGTCGGACTAGAGTCGAGCACGTGTGCAGGAAGACGATACGCGTTAAGTATTAATTCTATGTCATCTAAAATTATTTAACCGGTACGAGGGTTCGGTCGATTAAACTCGAATTCGAAAATTACCCAGTTATCAGAACCAGATAAAATTAGAGTTTCTGATTGTCAAAAATCCTAACTCATTTAGCCGATATTTAAAATCACTAATTTCTATGCGATTTCTATGGATTTTACAATCAACAACTGCAGCTAAAATCATATCCGACTAATTTTTCTATATTTATCACGAAATGAGGCTAACGTCTCGATTCTTAATCTATAGCAAACGGTGTCCAAAAATTACCAAATTCAAAATATAACATCCTCATCATATACATGATATCCATAGTCAAAATATCGCAACCAAATTCAACTTACAACCCATTAAACTAAAACGGGCATCAACCGGTTAAAAATACAAAAAAATCCATTCGTCTATCAAACTGACCTCCAAAAAATTTCCCGACCCGCATCCTAAGCCTCAAACAATTCAACAAAATTTATAAAATTTAAATCACCATTTTATCACTTTTCAATAATGAAATCAAAAAATATCACTTCAAGCTTGAAAAATCCTAATAATTCAAAAATCACTCTAATCACCAAATTATCATTTTTATAACATATTATTAATCACATCTAAGCCATTGCAGTTGGGTTTAAGCCAAAATACCTAAAATCGAATCAGAAAAATGGAAAATTGATCGGCTAGGAAAAGGGGCGGCTCTTGCGAATCGGGTCGGGCTCGCTGAAATGGGTCGACCGGAGGCTGAACCGCTCGGACCTGGACTGAGTTGACTCGGTCGGGACTGAGTCGGAACGAATCTGGAGCGGCTGGACCGAGTTCGAGCCGAAATGGGCTCGGTTGGCCTAAATCTGCTCGGGACTGAAGCTCGGGATGCTGGTCGGGGTCACCGGAGTCGGAAACGACAGGAAAAGGCTGAGAAAGAGGAGCTGCGAACTGGTTGCTGCCGGCGTGGAGGAGCTGCGACGGCGGCGGGCTGAGGTGTGAACGGCGAAGCGCGGCTGAGCTCGCTATGGTGAGGGTTGGTTCGCCGGCGTGGTCGTTACGTCGCCGGAGCTGGGCGTGACGGACGGCGGTGAGCTTGACTGAGCTGCCAGAGGATGGCGTCTAGCTGCTGGAAACGGCGGCGTACAGAGGGAGCTTAGGTCGCGACGGCGTAAACTCAGCTAGACGGTAAGCTCGCCGGTGGTGGAAGTCGACTTCGCCGGAAACGAGGTCGGCTGGGAGCTGCGACGTCACCGGCGACGTGGGGAGCAGCTGGAACCGAGAGGCGGAGAAGCTGGGACGACGGGGTTCGCCGTGAAGGTGGTCGCCGGCGTCGAGGGGCTCACCGGAGAAGGTGGTTCGTGGTCGCCGGAAAGGCGGCGGCTAGCCGGAGCTCGGAGGATGGCCGGATTTTTGAGTGATGAAGGAGGTGGAATGGAGGTGGAGGAGATGGTGGCTAGGGTTTGTGTGGTAGGCGTAGAAGATGGAAATGAGGAATATGAAGATGGAACCTATTTATAGTGTGTGGAAGACATAGGGTTCCACTTGGGCTCAAAATCGGGCTTTAATAATTGGGCTAATAAATCAAACTTGGTCTTGGGCTAAATAATCGAACATTGACTTATTAAATGTTAGACAATAAAATCCTCGGGACTAAGACTAATTAAATTAGTCAGTCGAATAATTAATATAGGCTCGGGTTTAAAAATAGAATATAAGCTCGATTTTTAATAATGTAATTAGTATTTGAAAAAAAAAAACTAAACAATTGCCGCCGAGCCTGCCTAGGAGCGCCAAGGTCCACCTAGACGCCGATTTGTGCAAAAAATTTATCACATATACAGTTTTATGAAAAATTTTTGAAGGAGTGTCATTAATGTGACAAATAATTTTTTTCATGGTATATCACATATTTTTGTACACTTAAGAATTTAATTTTAAAACATTTAAGAAAAAAAGTATATTGAATTTTATAATTTTTTTTTTCATTGTTATTGTTTCTAGAGTCACGATCCATGTTTACTAATTATTGTTATTACAGTTAGTGATAACGAACACAGTGCATCTACTATTGATGCTATATTTGTGGAAGTACTTTTAAATGGATGAATAAAAAATTTATCTATATTTAATACTTTACAATAAATTTTATCAATTTCTATGCATGATTTTTATCAATAAAAAAATATTTGTTAAATATAAATAATTAATTTCTCTTCATAATTGTATTGGAATTTGAAC